CAAGAAAACAAAATAAATCTAGATTTACGGAAGTAAACCACACAGTTCATAAAACCATACCATTTTTCTTGTTCAGACGTAGACGAATGTTTTCCGAGTCAGTTATCTGACCCACACCTTCATCTTGCTCACAATTGCCATGCTGATGCCAACTGTACCAACACCAAAGGATCATTCTACTGCACTTGTCTTAATGGCTATTCTGGTAATGGAGTGGCTTGTTTAGGTAGGTGATTCTCATAAAGAATATATCTAATCATGTCATTATGTCCAGAGGCTCATATAACTCAATAGTGCGGTATTACCCATTAGCAGGAACTGACTAATTCCTGTAAGTGCTCCAGTTTTTCAGTTCCTTGCCCTCCTTGACGTGTTGTCTTCAAACGAAATAAACGGCAGAAACAACAAGCACGGAACTATGAAATGCTGCACTGTGAAAAATGATAAAGTTCACCACATTATTGTGAACGTTTAGTTTCCTGTCTATAGTCGACAAAAATTCATTCGCCGCTTAATAGCTCTTGTAGGCACTGTGGTCACATGCATAAGTGCAACTAACAAGTGAAGCGAACAGGACGTATTTCATTAACATCAACGAAAAATGCACTACGAACAATTATGCCTGGACATGGCAGAATTTGGCATGAAGAAGGATATTCTATCATCCAATTTCTCACTCAGATCTACTATACCGTACTCACTTAGTCACCTATCAGTGTACCATGAACCTAGATCAAAGTTATGCAAATACTCTAATCAGTGACGACTAGAACAGGCAGCGCCACGAAACCATCAACAATGGTATGTCTCCAGGTAATTTCCTGACGTTCTCCATGCTTTTGGTCAGTGGTGTTTTCATACTGGAAGTCTTCAAGACTGGCATACACTTACAGCGCAAGCGCAAGCATAAGAAACAAGGTGTGTGTTAACCGTGCGATAAGTATACGCACAAGTTAACACACCAAGGCAAGTGCGATGGCTTTGCTTTATACTGTGCGCAGTGCCTATGCTAATTTTCAGGGGCTTGTAAGATTTGGATGCATCAATCATCGTCGTCGTCGACTTTCTCTCCTTAACCTGAAGAATTTGGCAAGGTGCTCGCCGTCTAAAAGCTGCTTTGACCACTGCTGTTCAGATTGTATTGGCACCGCCTCAGAGGAGTGTGGGTAAGACCGAGTGCATGCAAAGGCTGAGCAAGAGCCTGATCTTGACCCACAGGCGCTCAAAACGACATTTTGCGGATTTTCCTAACAGTTCATCGTTCACTCATTCATACTTCTGGGAGGAGATATGCAGTGCGACACGAAAGTCGCACGATACAAAAATCACGATCAGCAGTCAAACACGGGCCAGTATTTTCATTCATTGGGCTTTTAGGAAAAAAACCAGAGAGGTTTGTTGCATGCTGCTACTACATTACTGATCTTAGCACTGAGCCTGTGTTGCTAAGCATGCCCTGCTTCCAATGCTTTCTTGTTCTCTGATTGTGCAGACTCTGTGGTGGCCGACTCTTCAAAGCAGTACGGGCAAGACAGGTGTGATGAACTTTCCGGTTTACCTAAGGAAAGTTCTGGGAACTCCTGATCCATATTTTCTGTTTACTTTTTGATTTGTGGAAATGAAAAGTTAGTTTGGAATAATTTAGTTTGAGTGATTTTTTCAAAGTCTAACAAAATGATATAATCACGACAAAATAATATTATTCACATTCTTTGAAAAATTTACTTGTGCTGATTTATTCAAAATTACACGACGAACCTAATGCCCTTGTTGTTAAACAGTGCACATACAAGAGTTACTTCGGGAACCTGCTGACAGGACAACTGGGGTTTTACCGAAAGGAAAATTCTGTAAGGGTCCCAAAATTGTCTCAAACCTTTGGTGATCTTAGGTAATCTTCAAAAACCCTCGAAGTACTTTCCGTTAACTACTTACGTCCTTGGACTATATTTTGAATTGAATAGAAATCTTAGTTTTCACCATTATATATTATATTACGGCCTTTTCCTTTTTTAGACAATCACCATTGAGCGTTTTTTCAAGTACATTCTTACTTGGTTATTTTTCCTAGCGGCTAAACAACCATCAACATTTCGAACTTTGTATTTTAGACATTGAGGAATGTGCGGCAGAAATGGACAACTGTAACCTGGATGCAAACTGCACCAACACCAAAGGATCATTCTACTGCACGTGCCATACGGGATACTCAGGAGATGGAGTCACGTGTGATGGTACTGTAACGTTTTAATGCTTTGAGCCAGTAGGATATGCAATTGCCTCGATGAGGAATATTCATTTTCTCTACAAATTGTTCACTTGCTACTTTCAGACATCGATGAGTGTTTTCCTGACCTGATATCTTATGAATACCTTCATCTTGCTCACAACTGTCACCTAAATGCCAACTGTTCCAACACCAAAGGATCATTCTACTGCACGTGTCATACGGGATACTCTGGAGATGGAGTCACATGTGTTGGTAATGTACTCTATTCTCCTCCATTCTACTCTACTCTACTCTATTCTCATCCATTCTACTCTACTCACCTCTCATCTCTTCTACTCTACGTCAATGTGCTTGCGCACTAAATTACTCTAATCTACTCTCTATCACTCTACTCCTCTACATTCTACACTTCTGCATTATGTTCTACTTTTCACTTCAAATTCCTAAACTCTACACTGCTAAATTCAATTCCACTCTATTCTATGTTGCACTCTACTCTATTCCACTTTAGTCAACTATATGTACTCTACTATATTTTATTCTTCTGCCTCCTACTTTAATCTAATCTACACCTCTGCTCTACTCTACTGTACTCTCCTCTCCTCTCCTCTCCTCTCCTCTACTGTACTGTACTGTACTCTTCTCTACCCTACTCTACTCTACTCCACTCTGTTCTATTTTACTCTATTCTACTCTACTTTACTCTACTCTCCTCTCCTCTACTCCACTCTCATCTACTCTACTCTACTCTACTGCACTCTACTCTACTCTAGTCTACTCTACTCTACTCTACTCTGCTCTACTCTACTCTACTCTACTCTACTCTATTCTACTCTACTCTACTCCACTCTACTCTACTCCACTCTATTCTATTCTATTCTACTCTATTCTACTCTACTCTAATCTACTCTACTCTACTCTATTCTACTCTATTCTACTCTATTCTACTCTAATCAAATGTACTCTACGCTACTCTTCGCTACGCTACACTACATTACTCTACTCCACTCTACTTTACTCTACTATACCCTACTTTACTCTACTCCACTCTACTTTGCTCTACTCTACTCTATTTTACTCTACTCTACT